CACCAGGTAGATAATACGGAAAACATAAGACGTTGTAGTTCATGAAAATGAGCAAGTGGACAATACTGATGACAAGTGTGTAAAGTATGTATTTTTGATCATTGTCAAATTCTATTTCGATTAAACTCTGTCCGCCTTTTTTCACCCGTTGTTGTAGTATGATAATGGTCGTAGGCTCTTAAAATATTGCACAGGATTCATTTCTAGGGGTATATGCCAGGCTCCAAATAGGTATATCCTCACATAAGTCCTTCACGTGTCATTCCAGATTTTGCATATTCCTGACTGAATGAACTTTAATTTTCAGTACTGTAAAGTCTTTTCCGGCAATAATTGTTTAATAGTGGTTCCCTACTGGACATAGCCACCATATAACGGTACATGAAATACTATAATCTTTTCCAAATGTCTTCAAAAATTGTAATCCCAGTACACAGATTAAATATTTCAGATAATTTTTTAAAATAAGATAATATAATTAATGTGGGTCAAAAACAAACAAAGAGATTCAATCGACGTTGAAAAGGCACTTGAGGAAAAAATTTAAAGAAATATTTTAAAAGATTGACAAGTACTTATTGCATATAGGTCCACCAAATGTTATTATCAGGCATGCCACAAAATCATATTGAAATGCTTTGAATTTTGTAATTCAAAATCGTTCGTTTTTGTTTTAGCTTCTTCAGATTTCGTACGATTTGGAGAACTACGAATTCAGTTTAAATATGGTAACATTATATATTCAATATGGTAACATTAGGGGAATGACAGAACGAATGAATGAGGAATCAAAACAAAACACATGATTAGGAACACTGTAGAAGAGTAAATATTCTGCTTAAAAGAGTTTTTTGTGCAAAAAACAACATTGCAATTGATTCCTCAATTTCACTGAGCACATATTTGTTGAAAGGATCACCACCAGTTTTTGCATTTTCCTTTTTCTTGTGACACATTTTTTCCAACGTATACTATTTGCAATCTTTGGTTGTTGTTGTTGTTGTAGAAGTAATACATGTATGTGTTTGCTTCTACTAATCTGGTTTAAGCTCCAGGTTTAAAAATGCGGCTACTTTAATGGGCTGTAGTCAGAGATCTTCTGGAGTTAGTCGGGTAGGTTTGGTTGTGCAATTAAAGAGGTGTAGCGTATTGTGCGGGCCTATATCACACCCCGGGAAGACGTTACGCACATCTTCGTCAAATCGTGCCCAATATCAATTGAGACAACTACACCATCCTGAACGTAAATGCGCCAAAACTATCCTGGTTTGTCTCGGCAGTTGACTTTCTTCAGCTGCAATGGATGGATAACTGCTAATAGCATCTGAGACTGCGTCGGTATGAATGGCACTCAGACCTCTCTGATAGGCTTCTTGATCTAGAGGTTCTCTCTTATAGCGTTGGACCTCCCCCTCTAGATCGTGTATGTTCTTCATGATACCACGCCTGGGTGGGGGAGTTGTATCCACCATATGATGCTTGGGATGACTCTCACGGTAACACACAAGCAGGTACTGCAACGAAAGCATATGATTATGCTGACGTAAAGGAAGGACTTTCACCTCCTCATGTAGATGGTCAACTGGTGTCATGAGAAGGCACCCTGTCGCAGTTCTCAGGGCAGAATTCTGGCAGGTCTAGAAACTTTTTCAGCTAGCTGTGGCTTCGCTTGGAAATATGCGGCAAGCTCCCCGAGATAGGGGTTCAGCCTTTCACATATGTCATCGACCACTGGGCCTGAAGCCATGATCGTACAATCATCCGCATACGTTGCGATCTCTATGCCGTCAAGAGGGCGCGGAATTCATAAAGGTAGAAGTTAAACAGCTCCGGAAATATCACCCCACCTTGAGGCTCCCTGTTTCACTCTACGGGCTTTGGACTTCTTGTTCCGAAATTCCACGTACGACTGAGGTCCACACAAATAGTTGATTATCCGACGTTTCAAACTTGGCCGGAGGGTGGTTCTCTTCACGTCCTCAAACAGTATGGCGTGGTTGACCGCATCAAATGTCTTTGATAGGTCAAGGGCTACCAACACTGTTCTATCACACGGCTTGTTCTGGTTCAATCCTCTACTAATATGTGTGGAAATGGCTTGTAATGCTGTTGTTGCACTATGTTGTGGACGGACTCCGTGCAGATGATTGGCAACTGGACAGCTTCCTCTAATGCTGGGAGGAGTCTAAGCTACTGGCGACAAAACCGAAATCGCCTTTACTGGCATCCTGGCGCAGGTCATTACCTAGGACGGAATGCCACTAAAATCATGGTGGCCATTAAAATCCCCTAGTACCAGGTGGTTGTTGCCTACAAACAATGTGCTAACATCTGGCAAATACCGCGGTAGACTAACATAAGCGAGATAGGTCTGTACTGAACAGAATAGTGTAACAGGAACGCTAATCCCCCCTCCACTTCTGGTGCGATCCTTCCTTAGTACGTTGTACCCATAACAACGTTGTAGGCTGCAATTTTCGTTCAGCCTGGTTTCCTGCCCCGCTGCGATCTCAATATTCCTCCGATTTATAAATTCCGCTAGCTCATCAATTTTGCCTTGGAGTCCATTGCAATTGAATTGGAGTTGGAAAAACATGTGACATTAGATGCTGAGGTGTTGGTTGCTGTTCTGGAGACTGCGATGGAGTTCCATCCTCCGACGACGCCTCTGATGAGGATGACGAAGAAGTGGACTCGCTGGCGACTACGCTACTGTAGCACGTCGCAACATAGTCCCTCTCGCTGTAGTCTCGCAAACGTCTTAATCCGGAACAGTCTTATTTCTGAACATTACATCGCATCGAAACAGATCTATGGTGGATGACGTTCCGACAAATCGAGCGGAGCTAAGGTCCGGGGTTTTCTTATATCCCGGCACGGACCAAATCCGGAGCAAGCATTCCGGGATATGCTGCTCCCAATGCAGAAAAATAAAGTAACACAAACATGTACATACTGTGATGGCAGTCGCTGGCCGAAACTGGAATGTTGTTGTTTCGGGTCAATCCGGTATCGTGGAACCCGCTGCCGTGGGATTGCTATCTTTGGTGGGTGGACCCGAGGAATTTTGTTTTTCGGTAAGCTGTGACGAAATTGTATTCGGGAGGCCGGATGTGCACACTCTTGTGCACTCACTTTGCCGTTTTTTGATGCACATTTGGTACAATTTGGTTTATAAGTGTTCGGCTCACCACAGCCATAACAAAACACTGACCTTGGTTCCAAACAGTCCTGGTACCGGTGTCCACAATTCCAGCATATAAGATTCATAGCTTCATAGCCGTCAGGTATGCTAATGACGCTTGGAGCTTCTCCTTCGGCTACTTCCAACTCAGCGAGCCTCTGAGGCAATGAATGGGGTTAAAAGATATTTAAACAATGCTTTCGGCGCATGTCCCGCATAAAAAAATCGCGTCTTCTACAGGTATCGCGTAACATTTCTAAGGATTTTATTTCCATGTTCAAAATCTCATCTCATAATTTCGGCGGATAATCTCAACCAGCATTTCATCTCTCAATGGAGTTTTTAATTTATCAGTTAACGCCACAATAGATTTATAAAATGTATCAGAAGATTCGTTAGGTTTTTGTTTGCGGTCGCGTATTAATTCCCGGATGTCTACGTCAGTTCTGGAGTCAGTATACTGTTCTCGTAATGCTCTACACAAATCAAACCATCTGATAGAACTGACAGAGCGATGATATCGCCAAAGCTAATCACTGGCTTTACCCTCAAACAATGAGCTAACATTTCCACAGAGGATGTCGTAATTTCCCTGAAGAGTTTGTGCTGTTAAGGCCTCCACACCATAGATAAAATTACCACCATTGAATTTTATTTAATTAATACCACCATTGAATTTTATTTTCCAATTTGACATAATCTGCAGCACCTTATCTGGCCGCGAGATTAAATCAGAGCAGGTGGAGTTACCATGTGATGAAGAGTTCAAAATTGTGTTAGGGTTTCCAGAAGGAATCCTATTATGTGAGTGATTTGTTTTACCAGATTGTAAAGCAATACCAAATAATTCTCTAAAAGTTCGTTCTTCCACAGCAGGAAGTGTGGGCATCTGCTGTGGTGGTGTATGAGGTAGTTGATTTACATTGTTGTGTGGAACAGTTGACATTAACGTAGAAAGGCTTGCTGCAATATTACTTTCAATAAGCTTACTCAAGTGTGCACTAAGATGGATCATCATCTGAGTTTGTTGTGAAGAAACAATATTGGTGACTACTTGCGTTAATCTTTCGATTTGTTCTATATCATTGCTGGGAGTTCTAGCCGTATTAGCAGGTTGCGTTGTGGACCCACCTGTTGCCTCATCAGAAATGGGGTTATTAGTTTGTCTAGACCTTAGATCTTGTGGTAATATGTGCTTAGTGTTGGTGGGTCTATTGCTACTCTAGCATTGCATACAGGGCAGTATGGCCTTGTTTTTAAACACCTGTCCAAACAGTTTTTGTGGAAAATATCTCCACATGCAACCTTTTGTCCAGAAGAACTTAGTGAAATCCTTTCATTGCAAGCACTGCAAGATATTTGTTTATCAAGCCGTTTGGAGACTGAGGTATTATCACTCGTGTTAGTTGCCATAGTTTAAAAATGTAAAAAAAACAGCCAAGAGGACTAATCCCCAAATCAAACAAACAGGATAATGTAAGATCCGAAAATCTCCGTAAATTTAATATGTATATAGAGTTTTATATGGTTAAGAAAATCGAATCTATATTTAGAATTACCCTGTCTCATGGAACAAAACCACAAATGATATACAATTCTGAACTTCTGTTTCTAATTTCTCTAATTTAGTGTTGATAGTTTTTAAACGTGAGAAAACGTACACCATTGATTTTTTGTATAACCAGAAAAATTATTGCAATATTTAATTAAAATATATCCTCGAAGGAAAAAATCAAATTTTTTAAAGAAAAAACCTAGTTATTAAGTGGAAGGAGCAGTGTCATTACCTCACACAAAACTTTAAAGTTTACCACAAGAGAAATTTTACTAACACGAATACTAAACACAAAACAGTTTATATATTAATACCGAAAGATGCACGTAAAGTCAATGGAGTACCCTGTTTTATTCCTATACTAGTAGACTTGGACTTATTATTTTTTTTTTTTAGTTTTTGTGAGATGCGCAATTGGAATGCTGCTAAGGAATTTTATTCGAAAAGAATTCCACCAGATCGGATAGGAACATATTAGTACCTAAATTCCAAGATCAGGGAGGGGTTGAAAGATTTTATACATTGTCTCTTAGTGGGGCCAGATCTAGTTAAATGTTCCAGAATCCGTATTCCTTCCAGAAAAAGGAAAAGATGGGGAGAAGTAGATTGTCGTTGAGATTGGGTGTTACAAAATAAATAAAATTCTGGATTTAAAACACGTTCCATGCTTCACAATAAAATATTAAATAAGTATAGAAATTTAATAAAAGGAATAAAAATAGTAACTGAAATTAGAAGATAAAGAGTAGAAAAATTTTGAGGAGCCGAATATCTAGTTCAATGTAATCAGCAATTTGAAACCTGGAAAATGTTGTTAATATTAATAATAAAAAATATCACATTCGGGGCCCACGTTGGGCGCCAAAAATAATTATTAATGTAGCATGCAACGTCCATATAAGAAGAAGGTGGTATCACAGGCATTGAGAAAAGGTATGAGCACGCTTGCAACCGGCCTTATTGCTCGTGGGTACAGCATGGGTTAGAATCTTCTATGCCTTCTCTTCAGCTACGGTAAATTGTTTTAAATTTATTCGTGCTCAATGGATGGAAAATTTTGAATACATACAGAAGACAAAGAAACAGGTTACATTTCTATAAGGCATCAATACGATCCGGACGACTGATGTATTTGTGTCCGGTATGCCTAATGTGACCATTTATATTTTTCGTCAGAGCGGGACGTCTGCGGAATTTTGTAAAAAAAAAAATTATGCATTTAAAAAATAAATTTTATTCAAAAACGGAGAGAATACGTATAAATCTAATTTATGAAATTAATCTTATGTCTAAGTATTTGTTTTTTATTTGTCAGCAGAGTAAATTAGTTTTAAAATATCGGGTCTAGTTTTCAAGTAGGAATGGAGCTGATTACATTGTTTGTTGATGTTAGTCTTAGTAATTAAAATAGCTTTTAAAACTGTCACACTTAACTGCGTTTTTTCACTTGTCCATATTTTATTCATTAGGGAAAAAACTCTTTCGACAGGTGCGTTACTTCCAGGCATACATAAAACATACTCAATAATTGTGCGAAAGTTTGTGCAGTTGAGATTATTAGCACGGAAGTGTTTAAACAGCTCCACCCAACGGTCTTCAGTAGCAACATTCTCATCGTTCCAGCTTTTGATTTTTTCAACTGTGACGTAACTGGAAATAAGCGAAAACTCATCGAACACCTCCGTATCTTGGCTACTGCTAAGAAATCTTTGTGTGATCAGCAAATCCGTCACATTCTGTACGTCTTCCCAATTAGGGACTTTTCTCAAATTTGACCATTCAAATACTGCCAGTTGTGCATTGAACTGGCACCACTGTTCCAAGTATTCTTTACTTGTCTTATAAAAATCCGCTGCCGCAGTTTTCACATTCTGCTCATCAACAGCAACGTCAGTTTTTTGTAATTTTACCAGTAGATTGCGGACGGAATGAGGAAGGAAAATCGAATTCTCTTTAAGTTCTAAGTTATATCGGAAACGATTAATTTCATTCGCAGACTCTATTGCGGACACGTTTTGTCCCTCGATTTTCAACACGGCTTGATGAAAAATCGCTGTCTGTGCGTGCAAAAAATATAACCACAATTCAGAGCTGGGATTTTCGAAAAACGTTTTTAAAATAGTAGGGAATTTATCTATGCTCAGAAAATAGGTTTTCAAAGGCTGAAACATTTTTAAAATTCTCCCAAGCGCCGGCATTAAAGCAAGCCACCTTGTTTTACTGTAGCCCAACAGTTTCTGATACTCTGTGTCGGTGGAATCACAGAACTCTTTCAGAACTTCTACCCGAATGCTGTAGATGTAGAAGAATGAATAAATTTTCACAATGATGCATTCGAAGTCAACAGGGAGACAATCTGCGGCTGTTTTGATAGCATTATGAATTATATGGGCTCCACACCCAATCCCAATGAGCTGCCTTCCGACGGATAGGTTCAATTTGGCGTAAACATTATTTATCCCTTTTCTATTCTTTCCTCCGAAATTGCAGTTTGTATTGTCTGCACAAAATGCCACAATTTTCTTATTCAAATCATTGCAAGATAATACTTCTTTCAAATAATCCACAATTATATCAGATGATTCGTCTGGCTGCTTTTGAAACTCTAAAATCCTGACTCTCACGCCTTCGTATGGTACAAAATAGCGAACTAAAACAGGGAATAATTTTATTGAGCCATGATTGGAAGCATCGGTTAATAAAGATATGCAGTGGGCTTCGTGAAGGTGTTCTTTCAATTCGCCCATCGCCATAGGTGCCAGCACATTTACAACTATAGCTTGTGATTTTGTACGGGCACATCTAAATTTTTGCTCAAAACATGTTTGTATTAGATTTGAAGCACAGTCATTCGAACGAAAACTGTGGTTTTCTTGCACTGTGTGGTACGCCCACGCACCCTCCGCTGCAGCTATATCCAAGTCTTTGGAAGTCGCCAAATTTGTTCTTTTAAAAAAAGAAAGCATTGACGAGCTTGAAGCGGCAGCTTGATCAGAAAGCTTGTGTTTTTCCGATTTTAAATGCTTCTCAATATCACTGGCACCACCATGTCCAACACTAAAATCAGTACGACATTTTTCACACGTAACGTCTGATTCACCACTTCTTTGTTTTATAAATGGATACTTATTTTGCAAAGAAATGTTAAAAGTACACTTGCGTTTAGGCATTATTGTAATGTTACAATCACTAACATTGAAAATAAATTGTTTGACTTTGCTCGCCTTCTCCGACTCCGCGATGAAAAGATACCAGAACAATTTAGAGCGTCTATGCTTAGGGTACTGACAGAGTGACAGAAACTTTTTCTGTTTTTATAAGCATTTTTAATTTGGTGATTTCCCTTGTTATGCTGGAGTTAATGTCAACGCCGTCGACGACGCCGAAAAAGTTGAAACAGATTGAACTTTTTCGGCGTCGAATTTCTTACGGCGTTAAGATTAACTGCTCTCATAAAATTTCATACGATTCAATTTTTTTGACATTTGACGCCGTCGACGACGTCGACATTAACTCCAGCATTAGCATTACAAAATCTTTCGAGTTAATTTTAATGTTAATGTTGCTTGAAAAAAAACTATGCAAATAAATTATATGTTCACCGGGAAAAAAATAACTCATGTATTTTTCATCAATATCAATATCCAGTATTTTCGAAAGCGGGACATTTTTGCTCTCGCTGGGGACAGCGGGACAGATAACCTCAAAGCGGGACGTATGGTCACGTTAGGTATGCCCTCCCAACCTAATCACTAGATATGCCTTCCAGGCAGTCGAAATTATAGCTTTCGTGATTCCCAATCTCATGATGTAAGTGCAAGTCTACCAAACCATGGAATCAAATAGGCTAATGATTTACTTTAGATGATCCATTTTAATTTTATTTACTACAAAAATCAACCATTTCAGTATTCCTAGATTTCAATACAATCTATAGGGAATAATTTCTTTATCAAGAAAAATAAATACATTAAAAATAAACCTATTCTCTTCATGAATGAAAACACAAAAGATCCGAACTTTAATTCAAAATGATAGGGAAATATTTAACAAGAACAAAGTTACCCACTTTAGGGTGGAACCTTGCATTAGATACAATATGATCAAAAAAATAACCAAAGCAGAAAGACAAAAAAAAACAGACAGGCCTTTCCCACGTATAATTACAATAAGAGAATATAATATTAAGAGATTGTATATTAATCACTGCACTGCACTGCACTTAAGGTTTGTGGTGGTTGTTGTAACTACAATAGGCTTCAATCAGGCTTCACAAATATGATTTTTTCCAAAATTTGGGATGCTCCACACGAAATCTGATTGAAATGGCTTTTATTTTCTTAAAAATTTTGATTCACACTTCTGTTAGGCAACTATATAGACACTTTTAACTCATTTCCTGGGGTTTACGTAAGATTTAGCACATCTGTTTTGGGGAAAAGAGCTCTTCTTCTCGATTAATAGTTGGAAATGAATAAGACAACGTGCAAATTGCAATTAAATGAGCTAGCTTGTTGTAGAGGCTAAGTAGGTGAGTAAGCAGGTATTTTTATACCCTCCACCTTGGAAAGGAGGGTATATTAACTTTGTCCTTCCGTTTGTAACATCCTTAAATATTCGTCTTAGACCTCATAAAGTATATATATTCATAATCAGTCGATTTAACGATGTCCGTCTGTCTGTCTGTTGAAATCAAGATACAGACCACATTATTTGACGTAGAGCGCCAAAATTTAGCAGAGCTATTTGCATTGTGTCTAGGATCGTTGGTATTGAAAATGAGATATATCGGTCCACGTTCTGGTATAGTCCCCATATAACGGTACCTCCCGATATTCGGTATTTTGATTATTTATACCACACTTTTTCACGGATTTGTCTGGAAATTGGTATTTTTAGGTTATAACGTCCCTGCGCGTGTGGCAAAACATTGCATTGTTGTGGTATAGCCCCCATATAAAGGTACCTCCCCATATTCGGTATTTTATTTTTTTTGCCACATTTTTTCACGGATTTGTCTAAAAATTGGTATTTGTGGGTCATAATGGTTTCCAGCTCCGGTGGCGAAACATTGCATGTATGGGTCCATGATTTGGTATAGCCCCCATATAACGGTACCTCCCGATATTCGGTAATTTGATGATTTTTGCAACATTTTTTCACGGATTTGTCTGAAAATTAGTATTTGTTGGTCATAATGGGTTCCAGCTCCGGTGGCGAAACATTGCATGTATGGGTCCATGATTTGGTATAGCCCCCATATAACGGTACCTCCCGATATTCGGTACTTTGATGGTTTTTGCCACATTTTTTCACTGATTTGTCTAAAAATTGGTATTTGTGGGTTATAACCTAGTTCGTGTGGCGAAACATTGTAATTATAGGTCCACGTTTTGGTATAGCCCCCATATAACAGTACCTCCCGATATTCGGTAATTTGATGATTTTTGCCACATTTTTTCACGGATTTGTCTGATTGGTTATTGTTGGTCATAATGGGTTCCAGCTTCGGTGGCGAAACATTGCATGCATGGGTCCATGATTTGACATAGCCCCCATATAACGGTACCTCCCGATATTCGGTATTTTGATGGTTTTTGCCACATTTTTTCACTTATTTGTCTAAAAATTGGTAATCATGGGTCATAATGGGTCCTAGTTCGAGTGGCGAAACATTGTAATTATAGGTCCACGTTTCGGTGTAGCCCCCATATAACGGTACCTCCCGATATTCGGCATTTTAATGGTTTTTGCCACATTTCTTCTAATGTTTCTTTTACCCCAAGGTGGAGGGTATTAAAAGTTTGGACGAACGAACTTAATGTTTTTATACCCTACACCACATAGTGGTAAGGGTATTATGTCTTTGTGCATTTGTTTGTAACATGGAGAAGGAAACGAGATAGACCCATAGTTACTTTTGAGAACCTTCATAGAATCACTTTCTGAGTCGATTTATGCATGTCCGTCCGTCTGTCCGTCCGTCCGTCCGTCTGTCCATGTATTCTTGTGAACAAAATGCAGGTCGCATTTATTATCCGATTGAGATGAAATTTTCCAAACAATATTTTTTTGGCCCAAGGACGAACCCTATTGAAATTGGTGAGAATCGGATCAAATTTAGATATAGCTCCCATATATATCTTCATCCGATTTCGGGTTAAATGAGCACCAAATGTCCACTATCAGTCCAAATTACCTGAATTTTGGCACACCCAACCGAGTTCGGCCTAGAAGCAAGTATATCAAATTTTGAGAAAATCGGTTCAGATATAGCTATAGCTCCCATATATATCTTTCATCCGATTTGATCTTTAAGTCCCTCACATTCCTACTATGCACTCCACAACCGTGATATTTGGTACCAGGTATTAGATGGAGCACAGAAATAGCTGTTTTAAATTTTATTGAAATCGGTTCAGATTTGGATATAGCTCCCATATATATCTTCATCCGATTTCGGGTTAATTGACCACCAAATGGCCAATATCAGCCCAAATGGCCCGAATTTTGGCACATGTGACCGAGATTAGCCTTAAAGTAAATACAACAAATTTGGAGAAAATCGGTTCAGATTTGGATATAGCTCCCATATATATCTTCATCCGATTTCGGGTTAATTGTGCTCCAAATGGCCGATATAAGCCCAAATGGACTGAATTTTAGTACATCGGACCAAATTCAGCCTAGAAGTAAGTATATCAAATTTAGTGAAAATCGGTTCAGATATAGATATAGCAAGTATATATATGTTTCATCCGATTTAGTGTTTTAGTCCCTTACATTCGTAATGTTCACTCCACAACCGTGATATTTGGTACCAAATATAAGGTACAGCCCAGAAATAGCTGTTTGTAATTTTATCGAAATCGGTTCAGATTTGGCTATAGCTCCCATATATATCTTCATCCGATTTCGGGTTAATTGTGCACCAAATGGCCGATATAAGTCCAAATGGACTGAATTTTAGTACATCGGACCAAATTCAGCCTAGAAGCAAGTATATCAAATTTAGTGAAAATCGGTTCAGATATAGATATAGCAACCATATATATGTTTCATCCGATTTAGTGTTTTAGTCCCTTACATTCGTAATGTTCACTCCACAGCCGTGATATTTGGTGCCAGGTATTAGATGGAGCACAGGAATAGCTGTTTTAAATTTTATCGAAATCGGTTCAGATTTGGATATAGCTCCCATATATATCTTCATCTGATTTCGGGTTATTGACCACCAAATGGCCGTAATAGCATCAATTTTGGCAAATCCGACCGAAACCAGCTTAGAAGCAAGTACACCAATTTTAGTAAAAATCGGTTCAGATATAGCTATAGCTCCCATATATATGTTTCATCCGATTTCGTCTTTAAATCCCTCACATTCGTAATATGCACTCCACAGAAATGATATTTGGTACCAGTTATCAGATAAAGCCCAAAAATAGTTGATTTTAATTTTATTAAAAAATGGCCAATATCAGCCCAAATGGCATGAATTTTGGCAAATCCGACCGAAACCAGCCTATAGGCAAGTACACACATTTTAGTAAAATTCGGTTCAGATATAGCTCTAGCTCCATATATATGTTTCATCCGATTTGCTCTTTAAGTCCCTTACATTCGTAATATACTCTTCACAGGAATGATATTTGGTACCAGATATCAGATAAAGCCCAAAAATAGTCGATTTTGATTTTATAAAAATCTGTTCAGATTTGGATATAGTATAGCATAGCATACTCTTTACAGGAATGATATTTGGTACCAGATATCAGATAAAGCCCAAAAGTAGTCGCTTTTAATTTTCTCAAAATCTGTTCAGATTTGGATATAGCACCCATATGTATCTTCATTCGATTTCGAGTTAATTGTGCAACAAATGGCCAATATCAACCGAAATGGCATGAATTTTGGCATATCTGGCCAAATTCAGCCTAGAAGCAAGGACACCAATTTTAGTAAAAGTCGTTTCAGATATAGCTATAGCTCCCAAATATATCTTCATCCGATTTCGGATTAAATGTGCAGCAAATGGCTAATATTGGTACATCAAATTTAGTGAAAATCGGTCGGATACAGCTATAGCTCCTATATATACCTTTCATCCGATTTGTACTTTAAGCCCCTCAAATTCGAAAAATGTACGATACAAGAATAATATTTGGTATCAGATGCAGCCAAGAAATATCTTCTTTTTCAGTTTTACAAATATCGGTTCAGATTTGGATATACCTCCTATATATATCTTCATCCAATTTCGTGTTGATTGCACACCAAATGTCCAATATCAGCCCAAATGTCCTGGGTTTTGGCAAATCTGACCGAATTCAGCCTAGAATCAAATACATCAAACTTGGTGAAAATCAGTTCAGATATAGCTATAGTTCGTAAAATGCACGATAGAATTAGATAGATTTTGATTTTGTACCAAATATCTCATAGAGCTCTGAAATGCTCTGTATAAACCTTTTTACGAGAGCTCTACTAAATATGCATAGTGGTGTAGGGTATCATATAGTCGGCCCCGCCCGACTTTTGAGCTTTCCTTACTGGTTTACTTGTTATGTTATGCAAGTTGCATGCTCAATTAAGTTTATGGATGTCTTTTAAGCGGTATTTGGTGCCAAAACTAACAAAGAAGAAAAATATTAATCTCTTTTGAATTGAGAATAAGAAAACAAAAAGCAAATTCTTACCGATTGATCGAATTTGCACCAAAGTAGATAATTGAAAGATCTTCAAAAGTTGAAGAAAAATGAAAATTACCTTGACACACAGATGAGTCTATCAATC